TTTTCAGATACATGTGAAATCAAAGGAAATCTGTAACAGGGTTGTAGATTTTTCAGGTTGTATGGCCATGTTCGGACTCCCCAGTGGTGCAGTGGATTAAGGCGCTGAGCTGCTGAGTTTGTTGATCGAAAGGTCACAGGTTTTATACCTGCAGCGTGAGCTTCCGCTGTCAGCCCCAGCTTCTGCCAACCTAGTAAATCGAAAACATGCAAATGTGAGTAGATCAATAGGTACCGCTCCAGCAGGAAGGTAACATCGCACCATGCAGTCATGCCGGCCACATGACCTTGGAGGTGTCTATGGACAACGCCGGCTCTTCGGCTTAGAAATGGAGATGAGCACCACACCCCAGAGTCGGACACAACTGGACTTAATATCAAGGGAAAACCTTTACCTTTACCTATGACCATGTTCTAGAAGCATTCTCTCTGGACGTTTCACCTGCATCTATGGCAGGAATCCTCAGAGGTTGTGAGGTCTGTTGGAAACTAGGAAAACTGGATTTATTTATCTGTGGAAAGTCCAGTCCAGCCAGTGCCTTAAACTGTGTCTGCATGTGGGGTGTCTTTTAGTCCAAGCAATACCATGTCCACTATTCATTTGGTAGTAATCTGATAATCTCACTTCAACAACACAAAACTATAAACAGACTCTTTAAAAAACAAGATTTTCCTGCAACAACGTCAGGACAAAGTGTACTCCCTGCAAAAGAAGTGGAAGCATTGAATGATTTCTCAAAGAAGGAGAAGAAGAAGGGGATCAAGAAGATGGAAGGAAAAAGCATTAAGAGAGAAGGGAGAGAGAGGGAGGGAGGAAAAAATGAAAGAACAGGGAGGAGAATGAAAAATTAGCAAAACCAGTATAAAACTCCCTTTGGGCAATTCTGCTCATTATTTTATAGTGCAACAGGTTATAAGAGCTTCATTATCATCCATATCCTTCATTCTCCCTGAACAGACATGAAATCTGGTGCAGAGAAGTGACCTAATAAGTGTGTGTGTGTGTGTGTGTGACCTTATTATTAGTTATTAAGGTTGCTGCCTAAGGTTGCAGATGTTGGGATGTCATGGAAGCAAATTAAAGTCATTTATTACTGGTTTGGTTTTTTTTTGCCAGAAATGAAGAAGGAGGTGGCTGTAAGATTATCTGCTTATGTGTCAAAATAACTTGGTTAGCTTTGTGTTCTCACAGCTGAATGCAGGGAAGGGGACAGCATTTTCTGCTCTGCCTCAGGCAGCAAAATGTATTGGTAGCCTTGAGTACTGGATGAGCCTTACTCTAGAGTTTAACTAATAGACATGTCAACCCTATGGACCCCGAAGCCCGTCAACAGAGCAGAGATGTAAAATAAGACATTGCTCCCCTCTTTGGGGAAACCAGGACCAAATTATTCCCACATTCTTGAGATCTGCCATCATTTCAGTACTGTGCCCTCCTCCCCAGTTTATCCATGTTTTTCTCTCTTTTTTACTCTGTGTTTCAATATTTGAGCAGAATTCTACATACATTCAAATCAGAATACACCAAAGAAAAAAGACACATACGCCTCAAACTAAAAAAGAAAGGAAAAGGACATAAAATGCATAAACAATATGACTTCCTACTGTAGTAACTTTGCTATGATTCATAACATCATAGAATCATAGAGTTGGAAGAGATCTCATGGGCCATCCAGCCCAACCCCCTGCTAAGAAGCAGGAAAATTGCATTCAAAGCACCCCCGACAGATGTCCACCCAGCCTCTGTGTAAAAGCTTCTAAAGAAGGGGCCGCTGCCACACTCTGGAGCAGAGAGTTCCACTGCTGATCAGCTCTCTGAAAGGTCAACAGTTCAAATCTGGAGAGTGGGGTGTCAGCTCCAGCTTCCATGCAGGGACATAAGAGAAGCCCCCCACAGGATGGTAAAACATCCAGGTGTCCCCTGGGAAACATCCTTGCAGATGACCAATTCTCTCACACCAGAAGAGACTTGCAGTTTCTCAAGTCGCTCCTGACATTAAAAAAAATTCATATAGTCATTTTAAATCAGCAGGTGGCCTGAAGGTAAATACACACACACACAAAGTTAATCTATGTTTCTTAAGCTTTGCTCCTCCACGTATTTTGAATTTCACCTTCCCAAGACCAAGGTGGGCCAGATGGCCTCTTTCAGCCTGTAGTTATAGTGCTTGGATAGGAAAGAAATGACCACTGTATGGGGTTGCTTGATTTGGAAGCCCAAATTAAGGCAGGAAGGAGAAAGGGAAAAGATATGATGAAGGGGGCTCCAGTTCCTGGGAGTTGAGGCAGGTCAGGGGTCCTCTGTGAACCCGAGCCCAGCCCAGTCATAGAATCATGGGAAGAAGAGAAGAGAAGGCTGAGAGGAGACATGATGGCCATGTATCAATATGTGAGAGGAAGTCATAGGGTGGAGGGAGCAAGCTTGTTTTCTGCTGCCCTGGAGTCTAGAGCAAGGAACAATGGCTTCAAACTAAAGGAAAGGAGATTCCACCTGAAAATTAGGAAGAACTTCCTGACTGTGAGAGCTGTTCAGCAGTGGAACACTCTGCCCCAGAGTGTGGTGGGGGCTCTTTTTTTTGGAGGCTTTTAAGCAGAGGTTGAATGGCCATCTGTGGGGATTGCTTTGAATGTGATTTTCCTGCTTCTTGGCAGTGGGTTGGACTGGATGGTCCACGAGGTCTCTTCCAACTCAATGATTCTTTGACTCTTACTTACTTCCTTACTTACTTATTTAGGTGATCCCTCATAGCTCAAGGATGATTGTCTTCTAGATGCCATGTCTTGGCGGGTCCGTAGGTGGCTGTGGAGCAGGGCCGTAGCCAGAAAAAAAATTCAGGAGGGGTTGAAATTTTGGGGGGGGGGGTTGAAAATTTCATGGGGGGGGGTTGAAACCTGCCTCCTAGCTCACGCTGAAGCAAAGAGCACAGCAGGGGGCAGAGTAGCCTTCAATAGCCTGCAGCTCCGCCCCTGTCAACCACCTCCATCAAGTCAGGCCTCCTTAATAAAAGCATTCAACAACCCCCCCCCCCCAACTTGGTTGCTTTGCTACATCAGCTATTGCTGCAAGTAATGACAGTGTGAATAAATTGTCAATATTTTCCTGAGATAGTGCTTGCAGTTCTGGAGGACATCAGTTTCCAGATGGAAGGTGGTCCCTGTCAGGGTTGGCTTGACATGCCTTCCTCTTAGCACATTTCTCCCTTTCACCCTCCATTCATGCCTCTTCAAATTCTACAGCACTGCTGGTCACAGCTGAACTCCAGTTGGAGTGCTCAAGGTCCAGGGGTTCCTAATTCTCTGTGTCTATGCCACAATTTTTAGGGTTGGCTTTGAGCCCATCTTTAAATCTCTTTTCCTGTCCTCCAACATCTGTTTTCCGTTCTTGAGTTTGGGGTAGAGTAACTGTTTTGGGAGGCAGTGGTTGGGCATCTGGACAACATGGCCAGTCCAGCGGAGTTGATGACAATGGTGGTCTTTGCTTCTTCCAGCACACGGACATTTGTCTGCCTGTCTTCCCAAGAGATTTGCAGGATTTTTTGGAGGCAACGCTGATGGAATCGTTCCAGGATTTGCATGTGACATCTGTAGATAGTCCATGTTTTGCAGACATATAGCAGGGTTCAGAGGACAATCTATATAAATAAAAATGTAATGTTCATCTGTGGTATTAATATAACTCAAAAACCACTGAATGAATTGACACCAAATTTGGACACAATACACCTCTCAGTCCAACAAGTGACCATCACTCATAAAAATACTGAAAAACTCAGTGGAAGGGACTTAAAAGCCAAAAAAAGCAAAAAGACGCTACAGCACATGTGCAAAAACAAAACACACAATAGCACACCCACACTCTCTTTTGGACTACAGCTCTCATCATCCCTTAGACCAGCCCCTTTAGGAGAGGAGGGTGAGCCAAATGCACTGCTTCCAAGATGCAAGCTTTCTTCTCCTTGGATTTCTTTGAGAGCATCCCAATCCCTGCATATTTCCAATTTCCTATTCCTGGACTGCAACTCCCAGCAATCCTCCAGATAGATAGATTAGATATAGATTGACAGGTAGATAGATAGATAGATCAGGAGGACTGCTGGGAGTTGTAGTCCAAGAATAGGTAGAGAAGGAAGAAAGGGGAGAAAAAGGAAAGAAAAGAAAAGGTGGAGGGGAAAGAAGGGAAGAAGAATAGAAGGAAGGAAGGAAGGAAGGAAGGAAGGAAGGAAGGAAGGAAGGAAGGAAGGAAGGAAGGAAGGAGAAAGAGAAAGAAAGAAAGAAAAGGGAAGGAAGGAGGGAAGGAGAGAAAGAAAGAAGAGAAAGAAGGAGGGAAGGTTGGCCACAGCAACGCGTGGCGGGTATAGCTAGTAGCTTTATAAACAAGCACCTTGGTATCCCTGCTTCTGCCAACCTAGCAGTTCGAAAACATGCAAATGTGAGAAGATCAATAGGTACCGCTCCGGCGGGAAGGTAGCGGCGCTCCATGCAGTCATGCCGGCCACATGACCTTGGAGGTGTCTACGGACAACGCCGACTCATGGGCTTAGAAATGGAGATGAGCACCACACCCCAGAGTCGGACACGACTGGACTTCATATCCGGGGAAAAACCTTTACCTTTACTGGTATCCCTACGGATGTTAGCAATGCCCGCGTTGGTGTCTAAGTGTTTGCAGACCACTCCCTTAACTTGGATAGGCAGAAAACGACCTCTGACCACTGGATGAGGTTGCTGGATAAGGAAGCCCAAAATAAGGCAGAAAAGAGAAAGGGAAACGATATGATGAAAGGGGACTCGAGTTTCTGGGGGGCTGAGACAGGCGTCCTCTTTGAACCCGAGCCCAACCCAGCCCTCCTTGCGCCTCCCCCAAGGCTTTTCCCGGCGCGGCGAGGGTTAAGCGCCGGTTCCCGGGTGTCTCCCAGGTGACCCCGCCTCACTCTCCCGGGGAGCCCTCCTCCTCCCCCCCCCTCCTCCTCCCCATCCCTTCGTTCGCTTTGCCTTTCCCGGCGCCAGGATCCGTGCCGGCTCCTGCCTCATTCCCCTCGTTCATTTCTCCTCCTCAGCCAGCGCCGACCCGCTTTGCCGGGAAGGAGGCACTGCAGTGAAGTCCAGCAGCATCTTTTCCTCCTCCCCAAAGTCGCCGACCTCTTCTCGGTGTCCCTTCCTGTGTCCTCTTGTGGCGCCCTTGGTCTTTCCCTCTCTTCTCTGTCCTTTGAGAATTGTCTTGGTAGGACGGGGGCCCATCGGCGGCTCTCCAACCATCTCCTTCAAGTTTCCGCATTGCCCTCAACCCACTTTCCTTGATGCGCCGGTGCTTCTGAAAGGAAGGAGACAGACAGAGAGAGAGATTTCCCGGCTCCCGAAACAAGCCGTCGAGGAAGCAGCGCCGCAGCCCCGAAGGAAGAGGTTTGGAAGGGGTCTCGGAGGCGAGGATGGCCGGAGCTTCGGGGACCTGGCGGGGCTTTGGAGCCGCCGAGGAGGGAGAGCCCGCCCGAGGACGGAAGAGCAGCCTGCAGAGCTCGGCCCGGGGCCAGGAGTGGCGGGTGCTGGGCGCTGGGAAGTCCCTGCCGACCTGCCTGCCTCTGGGCCTGGGCTTGGAGCCCTCGGCGTCGGGAGAAGGAGCCCAGGGGGGCATCCAGGACCAGTTCCTCCACCTCTCCCTCCGAAAGCAGGTCTCCTACAGGTAAGGCGCCCTCCCTGAGGGACCCACAGAGCCACATGACCAGTGCCCCCCTCCAAACCATTGCTGGTGTGGCCCCCAACAGACGCTAACCCAGGCAAGGGCAAGCCTGGGCCCTCCAGGCGTTTTGGATGGCAACTCCCACCATTCCTAACAGCCTCAGTCCCTTTCCTTTGCCCCCTCGGCCGCTTAACCCTCTTCCATCCTTGGGTGGGCTCCCCAGTGGACCCACAGAGCCACATGTCCAGTGCCCCCCCCTCCCAAACCATTGCTGGTGTGGCCCCCAGCAGATGCTAACCCAGGCAAGGGCAAGCCTGGCCCCTCCAGGCGTTTTAGACTTCAACTCCCCCAATTTCTAACAGCCTCAAGCCCCTTCCCCAGAAAGGGCCTGAGGCTGTTAGGAATGGTGGCTGTTGCAGTCCAAAACACCAGGAGCAGGGCCAAGTTTGCCCATGCCTGCTCTAACCTCTCTGTGGGGGTCTTGAAGAAACTATGGTACCCACTCATGCTGTTCTATAATAGTATAACCTATGCACTTCTCTGGGCTCCAATCATATCATCATCATCATCATCATCATCATCATCATCATCATCATCATCATCATCTTTATTTATACCCTGCCACCATCTCCCCAAAGGGGACTTGGGGCGGCTTATATGAGGCAAAATAAATACAGAACAACAAAAAATATCATAATAAAATAAGTAAAACATAAGAGTAAAATAAAACAGTGCAAAGTAACAAGGTGAAAAATCACTCACAATGCACAGCATTAGGAAGGTTGAGAACCAATCTTTTAGTCGGATCTCCAGCACTTTATTCCCAGTCCCCGGCCCTACAGTTTGCGTTTGCACTAACCCTTGCCCTGCCCTATTCGTCTCAAATCTGCACATGCAGCTATTCCAGATATTGGTTGGTTGTTGGTTGGTTGATGTTTTATGATATTTTATATTTATTGCTTTTATTGTTTTAATATAGTTGATTGTTATATGTTTTAAATTGTGTTACTTTGTAACCTTGTTTATATTGGGCTTGGTCCCCATGAGTCCCTTTGGGGAGAAGGAGGCAGGATATAAGAATAATGTTATTGTTGTTGTTGTTGTACCATAGGCTGTACCCTATTGTTGTTGTTGTACCCAGGCTGTACCATATCAAACATTCTATTTTGGTTTGTTATTAATATGAAAGAACAAAAATTAAAAGGAAATGAAGACAAATTGAGACAAACCTAATGTAACACATTTTTCCTACTTTAGTAAAGTTAAAGGTTTTCCACTGACGTTAAGTCTAGTGTTGTCTGACTTGAGGGTTGCTGCTCATCTCCATTTCTAAGCTAAAGAGCCAGCATTGTCTGTAGACACCCCCAAGGTCATGTGGCCAGCATGACTGAATGGAGCGCTGTTACCTTCCCGCTGGAGCGGTTCCTATTGATCTACTCACATTTGCATGTTTTTGAACTGCTAGGTTGGCAGAAGCTGGGGCTGACAGTGGAAGCTCACCCCACTCCCCGGATTCAAACCTGTGACTTTTGGTTAACAAGTTTAGCAGTTCAGTGGTTTAACCCACTGCGCCAGCGAGGGCTTTCTGCTTTACTGTATTATAAAAACAGCATTTTATTCAAAATACCAGTATTATTTCTTTCTGAGCTGTACGGCCCAAACAGGAAACAATCAGGGCCACCCAACACCTCCCAACAAAGGATTTCCCCAGGCAGGAAGCAGCCAGGCTTTGAAACTATTTAATGCTAATCAAGCTGGCCAACTGCAACATTCACATTTGCCTCAAACAGACAACAGTTTCCTTACCCTGGAAATTCCACAGATATATAAACCCCACTTGCCTAGGTTCCAACAGACCTCATAACCTCTGAGGATTCCTGACATAGATGTGTGAGAAATGTCAGGAGAGAATGCTTCTGGAACATGGCCATAGAGCCTGGAAAACTCACAGCAACCCTGTGATTCTGACCATTAAAGCCTTCGACAACACATATTATTTCTTTGATTATATTTTTTGCCAGTTGCTTGAAACTTCTGGTTGCTTTGATTCCAGTTAACTGAGAGTCTATTGCATTCCTGTAAGGCTCAGATCTACTTGAACAGAGTCTGTAATACTGCTACTACTACTAATAAATTACTGCTATTATTAATAATAGAACACATCCATACAGCCCGGAAATCACACAACAACCCAATAGTAAATGCAAATAGTGTGTGAGAAAGGTGAGGAAATCAGCACTACATTCAAAGGCTTGGAAAGAAATCCTTCCTTGCAGCTGACCCTACCTTTAAACAAGGCTGCAGATGCTGAGAGGGGACAGCAAAAATGGCTATGTGCCTTCAAGTCATTTCAAACCTATGGAGACCCTATCACAGAGTTGTCTTGGCAAGATTTGTTCAGAAGAGGTTTGCCATTGCCTTCCTCTCAGCCTGAGAATGTGATTTGCTCCTAGATTTCATGGCCAAGTGCAGATTTGAACCTCAGTCTCCATATTTATAGCATAATGCTCCAACCAATACTGCAGGGAGAAAAAAGCTATTGGCCATATGTGGCCTGGCCTGTACATATTCAGTTACCCCAGTCTCTTTCAGACTTCCTGAAGGATGGGTTGTTGTGAGTTTTCCGGGCTGTATGAACATGTTCCAGAAGCATTCTCTCCTGATGTTTTGCTTGCATCCTCAGAGGTTGTGAGGTCTGTTGGAAACTAGGAAAATGGGGTTTATATATCTGGAATGTCCAGGGTGGGAGAAAGAACTCTTAGATGTGAATGTTTCAATTGAATACCTTGATTAACATTTAATCACCTAGCAATTTCAAGGTCTGGCTTCTTGCTGCCCAGGGGAATCCTTGGTTGGGAGGTGATTAGCTGGTCTTGATTGTATCTTGTCTGGAATTCCCCTGTTTTTGAGTGTTGTTCTTTATTTATTGTTATGATTTTAGAGTTTTTTAAAATACTGGTAGCCAAATTTTGTTCGTTTTCTTGGTTTCTTCCTTTCTGTTGAAGGATGCTGTTTGCTCTTGTCAGTGCTGAAGAGAAAGCGAACTGCCAGTCTTGTCTTTTTTTGCATGGAAAAGTAGGGTCAGAAGGCTGCCATGTGGCACTTCACACTGCTATCTGTTTTGGTCCATCCCTGGAGTATTAAGGGGACAAGTGAGAAAAGCCTTGGGCTTTTTCTGTCAGCAATGAGCCTACTATTTCAAAATTGTCTTGGTTGGAGAAAAAGAGATGGCCTCATATCAAAAACTGAGGCTGATGCATAGAAGCAATGCAACATCATTAGGGCATAAAGGACAGTCTGATAAATCAGTACAATGTTCTCACAAGATACAATCTGTTCTCTGGTTTTATTTCATCATTTCCTCCCCCACCCAATTTTTTTTTTAAAAAACAACATTTAATCTTCGGGTGATAGCAAAGCAGTCCAGATGAGCAAACAAGGTAATAAAACTTTGTTAATGTAAAGCCTGAGGGCAGAGGAGAGGAGACTTCAACTAGGACATGAATTAAAACCAAATGCTGCCATTTGTGTTCCCCGCATCACTGCCTGTCCTGGTTGGGAAGGCAGCCTTACCCAAATCATTCCTCCTCACATTTTAATGATTGGACTAACCGTTTTTGTTCAAGCCAGAGGAAGGTGTGTTTATCTCAGTTTTCAGCTCATGTACTCACTAATATCTATGAATCTCCAGTGAAAATCCATTCTCCTTGGCATGAATACCAATTAAATCTGCAGTTAGCCCGATTGACTGATTGTTTTAATATGTCTTATATGTTTTTTAATCGATGTTATGTGTTTTTAACTTGTTTATTTATATTTAACTGATGTTATATGCTGTATTTGATCTGCTGTTTTTTCCACCTCAAGCCATAGGGAGAGGCAGGTAAGAAACAATGACAATGATGTAAAAAGAATAATAATAGTAGTAGTAGTAGTAGTAGTAGTAGTAATCTTTATACCCCGCCACCATCTCCCCAAGGGGCCTCGGGGCTCTAACATGAGGCCAAGCACAAAAATTACAATTAAGCAAAGTAAAATATATACAAAATGATAACATCAAATAAAATTCAGACAATAACAAAAAATACAATAGGGTAAACACAAGGATATTACAATAAAATAACATCAAAATGAAATGCAAACAATAACAAAATAATACGACAGGGTAAACACATGATACGAGGTAAAATAATAATAAGAAACATCCATTTGAAGAGAGACTGAAATAATCATTATTATTATTATAATTATTGTTGTTATTGTTATTATTATTGTTTTATATAATGACGACGACAACGATAATATTTTCTATTTCTTACCCATCTCTCCACAATTGGCACAACACAGTTAAAAACACATAATTATAAAATATTATGTAAAATACATATACGGTATTAAAATGTATTTCTATGAAATGTATTTCTGTGAAATATATTTATTAAAATGCACAGAACAAAGATTAAAATACAGTAAACACAAGACATAGAGTTTAAAATCCATAGTTAAAACTGGGTATGATAACACTTTACAGTATCTGAACTGCAGACAGGTACATAGATCATACCCATAATGTAATGCTAGAACAGTGTGGCTTCAAGAGACAGTACCAGAAATCCAAGGGACAGCTCCTAAATCACCCAACAACATAAAAGCTGGAGAAATGTAGCAGCAAAAACCAGCCATTGCCATTTGCATAGATAAAAATTGGGTTTCTATGGATGAGAATGCAAACACTTTTTGAGTATCGCAGAACTCTTTTTTGGAAAGCTAGAAATGTATTAGTTGGCAGTGTCATTTCAGTTCGAACAACTTTATGATATGTCCCCAGCAAGCTGAGGAACTGATAACAACACACGTACAAAACCTGGATGTTATGGTCTCTGTGTGTAATACAGGAAGACACAATTTACTATGATTAGAAAGTCAGAAAGAAATGTAAATCTCCTCAAGCCCCTTGAAGAACAGAACAATGATACCCAAAAGCTTACATATTTTTCTCAGCT